TCTGTGAAGTCACTGACAACCTCTCCCCAGTGAGAATTTTGTTTTGTTTTTATCTATTTTTAGCATTTACCGCTGCCAAACTTGTATTAAAAATAGTTAGATGCAATCCTGTCTTTCTCACCTGGAGATATGGGAAGTAGATACCTGTGTTTATCTTAACTTTTTAACCCCAAGTGCTCTCTGTTACATGCTGCATAAGATATACAATCAATAAATGCTGAGCTAACTAAATGTGCTTGGGGGGATTTTAACTCACTGCCACAGGAAGTCTCCCCCTGAGAGCATGGAGGCCAGATACCTGGACCACAACTAAACCTGCTTTTCTGTTCTCTACACATGCGCCCAAGTCAAATTTAATTTGTCTTTCTCTCTCATCTAAGACAAATCAATCTCCAAATCCTAACAATTCTTACCTTTTAAATGTTTTAAATTCATCCACATTTCTCTAGTGCCTGTATCACTACTGGGTTTAAGCGTCCACTGCCTCTGGCCTAACTCCTTTAACAGATTACTGACTGTCCCCGCTCTCGCTTGCTCGTAGTACAGTTCGCACTCAAACACCAGCCATCGGCATCTCCCGGAACCACAGCACCTGTTCCTGTCACACCTCTGCTTCCTACCCACCCACCCCGTCCCATGCCTCCCTACCACAGGAGGCGTTTGAGGCCCAACAATGCAGGCCCTGGATTTTGTCTTTTCTGTCCCTTCTCCACATTTCAGATGCTGTATTATGAGCCCACAGGGCCCCTGTTACATGGAATTGCTGGGGCGGTTTCATTGTCTGTATCTGCTCTAGTGCACCAGTTCATTGATGGCAACGGCGATGTTTTCTTTGGTGCTGCATCAACCAGGGCCTATAGTAAAAAATTTAAATACTGAAAGCGACCTCAGCATTCTGTCAAACTTTTTACTCTAGTATCACTTTCAGCAAAGGCTGTTTCAGTAATGTATCATTGCACTAAATTCTGAGCTTCTGGAGAAACACGATGCACCAATAATCTCCCTTTCAGATGCATTCACTCCTGCCCCCTTTCTCAACTAGTGAGCCTTGGGGGCAGCTGTGACTGCTTCTACCCCAGTCTGCACAGTTAATCATTCTGCAGGAGAGGTGACAAAGGGTTTCAACTGCAGTGCTTCAGGTTGTATTTAACCATTAGGGTTAATGTATTGACACTAAAGCACCTGAAATGAACACACTGCCTACAAAAGCTTAGAGATTTGCCTAATATTTAGATGTGATTGTATAGTAAAATTCATTCAACCTTCAGGAGTCTGTGATTTGTTCCACAAAATTTAGCCCTAACAGTTCAGGCTGAGGACAGTTACCCATTTTGCACCTCAGTTTCTAAACTTAAGTGGGGTTTTAAGACTTGAAACAGAGAGCCTGCTGAGGATTAAACATTATTACTTATCACAGTGATGATTCTCCAACCCAATTGTAGCACCTTATACTCTAGTCCTCAAAACTACCTATTATTGCCACTAGCTGTCAGCTCAAACTTAGATGAAGCACAGCACCAGGGGAGTTGCTGCTCGGAGAGGGGAAGGCGCTCACCTTCCTGTAAGCACCGAGCTGTCCCCTGGCGGTTTCTGAAACAACACGGACATCTGCACTGCCCACCAGAGCAGCCACCAGCCACGAGTGGCTCTCTGACACTTGAAATGTGGTTATACTCACATGGTGTAACTACAAATACACAGCAGATCTCAAAGAAAAAATGAAAGGTATCTAATTAATAATTTCACATCGTTTCTATGGTGAATTAAGTATTTTAGATATCCCAGGTAACAGATTATTAAAATTTCACATTTTTTTTGACTTTTAAAAATGCAACTGTAAGAAAATTTAAAATTGTTTACATGGCACACAATTGTGGTTTGCATTATATTTCTACTGGACAGTGTGGTGGGCCTGCGCAGAGAACTGAGCAAAGCTTCCAAACTGCCTACCAGGCAAAACAGAAGGTGGCACTGAGGGCCCCATTTCGGATGGAACCACCAAGGATGCAGGGAAATACAGGTGATGCCCCAAACCTGAAACAGTAAGTCATGCTAAAAGTGCAAGGCTGCTTTGAGTGAAGTCTAACAGGGTCACTCTCTTCTCTGAAATAAAAAGGATTCATACTTTTACCTTTACTTCATAGGAATAAACTTTACTTTTTAGAAAACTATTCTCTCGGTATTAGCACAATTGAAAAAATGGAGATTCTAAGATATTAAAGTGACAGTTCCCCTTTAGCAAAAAGAAAAAAGGTTAAGGACTAGAAATGTTATATTATGTTCTGAAAAAAATAAATAAACCTTCTGTTCACCTCACAAAATTTCATATTTGTAAAACAGCATAAAAAATTTTAGAAAAGATACCAATCAAGGTAATACTTTAGAATCCACCCTCACATTTCACTATCCCCTCTCCTGTTTAACATTTTCCTCTGTGTTTCTAGAAATTTCAAGACCATTCAAATAAAGATGAAACTATAATTACATAATTCCACTGAAATACGCTTTATCTCAATAAAATGTTTGCACGATTATAGTGATTTAAATATACTTTCTCATATACTTATTCCCCTATATTATATCATAATAATTTAAACATGCTTTTAAAGTACTAAAATGTAACACTTATAAGGTACAAGTTATAAAGTGCAACAGGAATGACTTTAGGGTGTCCAACCTTTTGGTGCCTCTGGGCCACACTGGAAGAAGAGTTGTCTTGAGCCACAGATTACATACACAAACACTAATGAAAACAAAAAAAATCTCAAAATGTTTTAAGTAAATTTACGGTTTTGTGTTGGGCCGCATTCACAGCCATCCTGGGCTGTGGGTCAAACACCCCGACAGACAGTAACCGTATATTGCATATTTTTCAAAGTATTTAAAAGTCACTAAGCCGTAGGACCCAAATTAGTTGGTTATCAATACAGAAAATGGGGTAATTTATCAATGTCCTATCTACCCTACAGATATGTTATGGTAAAAACATAAAAGGAGAATATTCATATTTTTAGAAGGGCAAGTAGATTTCAACAAAGTTAGTCCTGAAGAAAATTTCTGTGTGTCTCAACATAATGAAATAGTATTTAAGAATGAAGGTCTACTTCTAATCAGGCTCCAATCAACTTGACCCTAGGAATTTTAAATTATTTTTTTTAACTTTTCTCCCAACCTGTTCTCCACTTGTTCATACAGATGCCCTATCTGACACTGCTGGAAAGCTAGAAATTAAGTACCACGGAAGCAAGACCTGAAACTCTAGTATTGTCTAGTAAGTGGAACAATTTTATTAAAGTCTGCTGGGGCGTTCAGAGGAAAGCAAGATACATTTAAGCTCTTATGATTTGTGAAGGAAGAAAACCAGTGAGCAAAATAAGGAAGGAGAAAAGTAAAGAAGTTCACAAGCATTTTGTATGGGTTTTTTTTGTTGTTGTTTTTTAATGTTGTAGCTGATTTGCATGGGTTTATCTATTTTAATAGGTGGGGTGTTTTAAGGGAAGTATTCGAAAAAACTGAACCAGACAGTGCTCATTAAAGAATACTGAGGGGAAAAAGACAGGTTTAGGGAAAAGGGAAGACAAAACTACAGGATCTGTCACGTGCACCTCCCGCCTGACCCAGCACCGAGCAGGAGTGTCTGGTGCTGAGAGAGGAAAAGAGTTAAAGACATCCACTCCCTTCTAATGCAGAGGGAAAAAATAATCTTCAAATTCATGATTTTGTTTTTGTTTACACTGCTAGTGTCAAATCTAAGAATGCGGCTGTAACTTGGTCATTGCATGCTTAATAAATGAAGAAATTTATAATTTTTTTTTAAATTTACAACTCTTCAATCTGAGAACAACAAGTCTGGCTGATCAGTGTTTTCACATGTCTATGTTTCCTGCTATTTCTCAAAAGAGTTAGACAATCACACAATGCAAGATCAGAAGTGGAATTAAGTAACAATTATTAAATCTGTTAACTATTCTGCTATCTAATAGTCATTTCCAAATTATCTATTGATGATTCTTAAAGAGTGTGATATATCATTTCAAGAGTATTCCATAGCTCGTTATTAGTGATATCAAAAAATCCTATAGATGTCCCAATATGTATGATTATTTCTTCACAGATGAAATCTTAAGTAAGAAAGTATGTGAACTCATTTTATTAAATTTTTAAAGTACTATATAAAAACATAAACATTAGTAATGTAACTTCTCAATATACCCTACATAGAACTCACCATTTTCTCACATATAGTATAATTATTTACATGTCTGTATGAGACTATAAAAGGAACTTCACGATAGGCATATCTCGTTGCATTCAAGAGCATCTGACATCAACACCTTACCGAAAGAGACACTATGCCGTGAAAGTAAGTTATGGTACTTCTGAGGGTGTGGGCAAAAGTTTGGTAAGGGTTCTAGTAACCACTGCGCAAAGTCTGGATCTTCTGCAGCAGTGAATATGCAGACAAGAGAGCTCTTATTCCTCCTCCTTAATAATGCAGTCCTTCACCAGCCAGAGTCAGGCGTGCGTTCAGACCCGCAGCCAGTAAAAGATGACCACCTTAAGAATAGAGATGTGGGGTCTCTGACATCAAATGAAATAAAATAAAAGCCTTGAGATTTTTCTCACAGTGCATTTCTGACTATATGTCAATTTTATACACTGAATTTGGATTTCCATCGAGCATGCTTCCTTATATCTATCATAATTTTTTTCTTTAAAAATAAAGACTCCAAGGAGGAGGAATAAAGACTCCACTCCACAGCTGAAGAAAGAGACGGAGAGAGAAGAGACAGACATGCACACAGACGCAGAGACAGGCAGCGACAGGCAGGAGAGAGAAAAGGAGAGCCAGACAAATTCCGCACAGTGGCTCCTGGCCACTTAAGCAAGACCTCAGTCTTTGAGGCTTATCTTTAGGCTGTGCAGCAGAGGAGAAATGGTCAACCTTCATTCAACAAGGAACACATGGGCAATAGTTGAAAAGTGAAACATTTCTGTACCTTAATATCAGATGTATCACGCTGACTGTTTCGCCAAGCTCTGGAAACTGATGAAAAAGTTCGATCTGCATGATCAAATTTCCCTCCTTGCAAATTTAGGAAATAAGTTGTGAAGGGTTCCTAAAAAATTAGCAATTAAAAAAATCAGTACCTCCCCCTCATGCATAAACATGTGGTTTTTATACATCTTTATACCTAAATACTCTAATGACTGATACACATTAGCCAGTAATATGTGTTCTCAAATCATTTTTCTCTCAAAAGAAATATTTCCAAAATTTGGTATGTGCAACATTTTTCACTTTTCCTTCTAAGAACGATTTGTTAAAAACATTCACACATAAATTAGATGGTATTTTCTTCATAACACAGAGAAATTGTCAAATATGTAATTTTCCTATTGTTACAACTCAATATTTAATTTATGATTAAGAGAAGAAAAATGTTTGGAAGATTTAAAAGCCTCCTCTTAGTTAAAGAACACTTAAACACGTATTAGTGGATAATTGCTTGAAATTAGCTAAGCACTATAAATTACTTCTAGGATTTATGTCTGCCTGTACCCTTCTAACAAGCTTTAATTAATGATGTGCTGCTAATGCTTTCCCAAAGAAATTACTTTCCAGTAGATGAATCACCTTTCCATTTTACAGAAACATTTCTTGTTTAACCAATATATTATCAATACATGGCAGCCTTGGAGTAACCTACAGACATACCTTATTCCATTCCGGGCAACTGAAGTTCCTAAGTATATGAGTATACATTGATGTGTTCATGAAATCTTATTTATTTTAATAGGTAACATTTGAATATAACCTATGTTACAGTTTAGAATCAGGTAGGATATCAACCATGTGAACAGGCAAATTTAAGGAAGAAGGTGACACAGGTTGAGGTGAAACATTTTTAAGGCAATTCTACACTAATACACAACAAGTGGGAAAAAGAGATACAACTAGAACCTTGTCACTGGAAAAAAAAAACATTAAAAAAAGACTGCCTATTCTCCACAACACTGAACTTATTTATGCATGGTTTATCATTTAAATTGAACTTACTACTCTTAGCAGCCACGCGAGAACAAAACTTGCAGTTGAGTAATGAGTACCATAGTGGAACTTGGGAACTTGATCATCTTCCCATGATTCATACCGCTCTGCAAAGAATGCTGCTCTTTTCGGATTCAAAGCTCCTACTGGCTGCCAGTGGGAAGGAAAAACAAATAAAAGCACAAATGTAAGTGTCTTTTATCTCTTTCACTCTTTAAAATGTTGCCCTTTTAGCAAGTTTGAAAATGAATTAAAAACTATAGAAACTATTTGAGCTAAAATACATTGTTACATCCAGGCAGTAGAAAAACAAACTTCTTATCAATGGAGGTTAAACATACCCATATGAACAAATGGAGAAACCTGTCATTTCTAAGTCTAGCTTTTGTTGAATCAAAGTCATTAGTCAGCCCGTAGCAAGCATTTTCAAAAAGACAATTACGTAGCCCTGGCCAGGTGGCTCAGTTCCTTGGAGCATCATCCCTAACACCAAAAGGTTGTAGGTTTGATTCCTAGTCAGGGCACATACCTAGCTTGTGGCTTAGATCCCCAGTCGGGGTGCGTGTGGGAGGCAACTGGTGGATGTATTTCTCTCAAATAGATGTTTCCCCACCCTGCCCTTCCTCTCCCTCTAAAAACCAATAAAAAACATACCCTTGGGTAAATTATTTTTTTTTAAAAAGGCAACTACATGAAGTAACTACAGAATACTTTGAAAGCACCTATAAAATTCTATTTAGTTAATCAGAAGCAACAACCAGAAAGAGAATCTTGAAGCTGGAGGACTAATTTATAAAAGGCTCTGAGAAGAGAACAGACTGGAACTAGAGGGAGCAGGGAGTGGGAGGAGGAGATTACGGGGAAAGGGGGTTAGATGGAAACCTAGAAATTTCTACTAGTATGAGCAGAATTTCGAGGAAAAAAAACATGCCTGCATGAAATGTACTTGCACTGCAATGGAAACTGCACATTATAGAAAGAATCGTAGACAGACTGCAGACCGGAAACCAGAAAACAATGCATTAGAGCAGAGGTCCCAAAAGCAGCCCAGCAGAGTGGTGAAGAGCGTGGGCTCACTGGGGGACAGGAGGGCCCAGCCAGAAGGATGTTTTGGAAAATAAAATGAGTCAGCACAGGTGAAGTCCTGTGAACCTTGCCTGACAACACCCAGTGAATGCTAACTACTGGTTTTAAGATTAGCCTCTAGAACGGGGGCCAAGTTTCAATAAAATAATAGCCTGTAAAGCTCCAGCATGCTAGTTGGCGTAAGAAGAAAGCTGTATAAATGTTATCATGGCTGCTGCTGTTGTTCAGGGAACACCTGAGCTCCATGAACCGCACGCAAAATTGTGTGTGGTGATGCACACGAACATTTTCTCCAGGAAGATACACTGAGTGGTTCTTAAGATTTTCACCCCAATAAATTCAATAAAAAAGGGGGGGAAATATTTTCAAAGGGTTCTAAGGGCTGAAAGAGTGTTAAGATCAACTGCATTAAGCAATAATTCATTCTCATAAAAAATTCTGATTATAGAAAATGCTTATTGATTATTTAAAATATTAAGTCCCAATTCACTGAAAAAAATGTCAGATTACTTTCTTTAATGAAAATCTATGAGTTAGTAATTTCTTGTTCATAACAGAAAGGAAATATCTGATTATTAATGGGGGAAATGGTAATGTAAAACAATTTTAAAATATTGGTTTAAAAATGATACATTCAGACACAGTCCATTGAGTATGAAGCAATGTTAAACTATTTTTTAAACTGGTTTTCATGTTAATACCTGATTTTAAGCAGCATTTAAAATTCATCAGTTTGTCTACATTTCTTTATTTTTTTTCAAACTGTTTATCTTTGGCACCATTCTCTTTCAATAGCTTTGAAAGGTTCTAATCAGCATTTTATTTTAAGCCATTTTTTAACTTTACAAGCAAATATTTAAAAATCTTTAGTTGATTACTATTCTAAATCAGTATCACAGTAGACTGATTTAAAATGTCACCTTTTAAAGCATTAGTTTCTTCAGAAAAGAATTATATCTGATTTTCTAAATTTATGCCCGTTAAGAATGGTACTGACTCCAAGAAATCTTTGCTACAGAACCAATTTTGAATTCCTTTAAATGGATTTTAGTTGCTGTCCCTAAAGACTGAGCTATGCAAAAGGAAAAAAGAAATAAAATCACTGGAAGACAAATTATGTGAATTAAAAATAGAATCAATGCTCCTTTTGTATGGTTCTGCAGCATATTAAGTAGTCACTTTATCTGCTCCTATTTTTATTACTCTCCAAATGAGTACACCCCCAAAATCAATAGTTATAGAATCACGCTTCTTGAATATAACGCTAAAACCAATTAGGATTGATTTCACTAGCATCTAAAAAAAATGGCATTGCACAGAGATCCATATAGGTAGAACCCACAGTATTGATTCTGGCTGTTATTGTTACAGTTGGTTTCTGAAGCCTGCTAGAGGACAGCTATCAAGACATACCACATTTATTTGCAAGCATATAAAAAAGAAGTCCCCAAATAAAAGAAGGTTAAAAAAAAAAGATCAGTGGAGCTGTGCAATGACAATGATACACTATCAGCTTACTCAGAGAAGTTACAGTGGGAATACACACATTGAATTATACATTACGCGAAAGCACTGATTTATTGTGGTAATAACATCCACCTCATTAAAAGATTCTGCTTTGCTGCAGTTGGAAGGCTACATATTGTTTACTGCTATAAATTAATGGTGGTACAAAGAAGACTGTGGAACCGTCCTAACAATAGATCTGTAATGACAGTGCTGTATATCACAGCTTCCTCAGCAGCTTCATAATAAAATGGAGACAATGTATTGAGCTAATACATTCTACCATGCTGGCCCATATTTTCCTGACAACTGCTTTAAAAGATGAGCTGAATCCAACTATGTTATAATGCTGCAAAACATTTAACTAAGCAAGAGTCTGTCATACACCAAAGTGCATCATAGCATTTTTAAAACATTGTCTAAATCAGCATTTCAAGATGTTTATTCATCTCTGCAAAAGAACTAAAAGCCAGTGCTGAGGGCTCCTCTTGCTTATATAGGATGTTACAAGTATCAATTGGAGGGCAATTCAGAAAAATGCCTAGCACCATCATCCCACAGAGAGCTCTTTGTACGACTTAACTGTAAAAGCTTGGCTGAGTATTTTTAAAAATCAGCAAACTGATTAAAGGGGTAAGAGTAAAAAATATTGGTCATTTAAAATGGTAACTTCCTGAAAAAAAAATCAATAGAAATAAGTATTGATTAGAGAGGTATAATTCAAGTTCATAGCCAGGTAAACATAAACAGCCCTAGGATACAGAAAAGTAATTACAGATATTACATAAGGCTAACGAATAGAATTGTATAAGATTTTTAAAATCAATAAAATAATAAAAGAATTTCAGAATAGAATGATTTAAAAATCAGAGTATAAAACTACCATAATAAGTATTACATTAAAAAAATAGAAATAACTTGGAAAAGAGAACATCAAAACTCTTGAAAATGTACAAATAGCAAAAAAAAATGACTATACTTAAGAATATTTCAACTCACAAACAGCAAAACTGACAACTGTGTTAGAGTTATAAGTATACTGTTTGAGAAACAGTAATGATACCTTTCTGAACAAGATGTGTAAAACCTTCTAAATCAGATTTTTAAGATTATTACAATAAAAAAATACCTCATTACCTTCTTTGAGAGGTAATTCTTCTCATCAGAAGGGAAACAAAAATACTGCATTTAAAGTGCCCAGCTCAGTGCTGGGCACCCAGTCAAGTATCAGCAATAATAATTACTTTTCAGCTGATTTAAGCATGTTTAAGAAAACCCACTGAACAAACCTGATGTCATCAGTGAAGTCTACGAGAAAAGAACGCAGTGACACCCCACGACCCTCCCCGGGCGCCCAGGGGCTGGGCGCTGTGGGTCAGAAGCCTGGTGGCCGCAGCAGCAGTGCCAACAAGCTGCATTCTTCTGCCTGCCTCAGGCGCATAAGCAAAGGCAAATTAACCTTCAAAAGTCCCAAGGGCCGCCCCAATTTTACTATGAAAAATATATGAAACATCAAGCTGCAAACATCTACATTTATTGAAAACAAATAGTTTTGAATTCTCAGCCCCCTTCAAGGGCACACGACAGACTCTCATATAATCACTAGTAAAAGTTAGCTGTTAAAAAAAGGCTTTTGTAGTGCTGATACATTCTAAGTTTTCTCTTTTTCTTTAAAATTTCAGGATAATTACTAATATCCATCTTCCAAAAGAATAATATCGCAAACTACAGTTTGTAATTTATAAAGCATTAAAATGCATTCTCATAATAAATATGTGAGCTAGATATCCCTGTTTTACTAATGAAAACAAGAAGTATCTTAAGTAATGTAGCTCAAAACCAATATAAATCTGGGAGACAAAACCCCAGTTCTCAAAATACGGTCTTTGGGCCATTTTATCCACCTAAACTTGTTGTATTAAAAATTGTTTTTCCTAGTCTTGACAATTTTCCAACTTCTTACATTTTCAATTTTTCAGTATGATATTTAATGGATTGACTTAAAATGCTAATAATATGTGTACAGTGCCGAGGAGAGCTCCTGGTACAAAGAAGGTGCTCAGTAAGTACAATTGTTATATCAGTATCACCATCATTCCTCCTTGCTTTTGAGATTTATTTGTGAACTGTTCCCTTTTATATCAACATTTTAGAAGTGAAATGTTCCAAACTGCTGGACCATGATTACAGCCACAAAAAATTTTTGTTACTATAATTTTGTTACTATAACAGAATTACCATGATTACAGCAACAAAAAAATTTTTGTTACTGTAACAAAATTACTTACAGTAAGAAAATTACAGGGAATTGACAAGAAATCTGAGTAATTTCACAGAGCGGAAATTTGCTTGGGTTAACAAACTTCTTAAACTCCAACTCTCAAAAGAGGTTTTTACCTCTTTTTGTGAAGACTTTCTTTAGAACATCATTAAGGCCTAACGTATGAGGATGAGAAGCAGAAAAGAGGAAGATGAAAGAAAAGTCATTCTGGAGCATGAAGTGCAGAAACAGGGCCCTTGTAGATGCTAAAGGAGAATGTATCACAAAGACACATTTC